TTCCAAAGATACAAATTGGGTGTCTTCGGATTATAATAACTTGGCGATTTTTTGGCGAAAATTTGGGGACCAACCCTGCTACAGCAACCTGCTAGTTTTTTTGTGGGGGACGCCATTTTGTTATCACGAAGTAAAGGCATTTTTTTGTTTACTCAACATTTTTTCCAACAATCTGCTAGCCGAATTACGCTTATGCTAGACCTTTTATGGAACAAAAGTGCTTAATCATGACGAAGATTAGGTGCGAAATTGTTTCTAAGTGCTTATTACCTAAAATCACGATCGGAATTTTCCGGAAAATAGTAGAACAAATGTGCAGAGAAATTTGTTTTTACAGGGCAAATTTATATATGAAACATGTAATCCCCCCTTTTTGGATTAAAGAACTCTGATTCGTCCATAAATGTCACATGACATGTCTCATTTCTCTGAGATAAAATAATCTGTGATTGGAACTGTGTACTTCTCAGATTATTGCTAAAGTCCTAGCTAGTAACCTTTATCGCCTTACCAAAATGTCGCCAAACTACCTGTTACCATATTCCAAAGATTAGCCACAAATTGTTCCGGGCGTGCGGCTTCGTTATAAATTGAATGCACAAGTCCAAAGAAAAATGAATAAAATTTATTATTATCACAACAAATAAAACAAAAATGCTTAAATTCCTTCAGATATTCGTACGATATCTCAATATGTCATAGTAGTTATCTTTTAAACTACTGAAAACTCCTATATTAAATATTAAATCCGTAACACTGCCCCCTTTCCAAGGACTGCCCGACCCGGGCAGTACAATCCCTGGACTGGAAGCCAAACTTACAACTAAGACATAAATGCAATAGTAAATGTTACATTATAATAAGAAACAACGTAAACAATAAATGCAATAACTAACTTAAACAAATCAAATGCTATCAACTATTAAATACAAATCAAGTATACATTTAGAAACAAAAAGGGCCACATTATTTACAATTATTTACACTACGTACTTTGGCCACAGTAATGAGCTAATGTGTCTTAATGAACGACTTTAGGTTTAGAGTTCGATGACCTACGGATCCTAACCACGATGTCATTCAGCCTGTTTAGGACTGTGTACGGAATATCCCAAGGTGACTGTAGTCTCGTACTGAGTCCTTTTCGTCGAATCGAGTTCCACAACCACACCTTGTCTCCTTCGTTGAATTGATGTCCAGCAGCTCTCGTGTCATATCGGGTCTTCACCTTTTCCGTCACAAAGTTACCTCGCTCTCGTGAAGAATGGTGCATCACTTTAAGCCGGGCCTGGACATCTTGTATGTATTCCCCAGGCGATAAAGGCGCATCCGTAGGGCGACCAAACAGGAGGTCACAAGGCAGACGAAGGTCTCGACCGAAGAACATCTGGGTTGGAGAACAGCTGGTAGTCTTACGTTTCTTTTCGGCCCTAGCACGATTTCGGCAGCTTCCTGAGCTGGGTCTTTCGGACAAGATGTCGGCGTTTCCAGGTGAGGATCCCTTCTGAGGATGGATAGTCATGTCCTCAGACGCTGAAAGCAGTTTTTTTGTTTTTAAATTCTAAGGAAAAATTGTATTTCCTTAAAACGTCCAATACGAGTGTGCATGGATCTGCAATATCTGCCACATATGCCGTGTGATGGTAGGCGGTACTTCCAAACGTGATTTTTACGTTTAACTTCCTAGCTATCTTATCACCAGAAGCAGTCTGAAGGGTAACACAGGATGGCGTCCAAATAAGTTTACATTTAAACTGTTGTGTTAAATCTCTCCGAATGATAATAACATTAGCTCCTATGTCAATGATCATATTGAAAATAACTCCATCGATATGCCCATTGATGGACAGTCGTTACTGTTGCCACTCACTGTAGAAATCTTACGCACTTTAAAACAAGGTTTTTATTATCTGGCAACCTCCGTTCCTCGATGTGGTTATAAATTTGTTTCCTGTTTCGTTGCTGAGAAATGGTCTCAGTTTCCGTGCTTTGGGATGTTCTGCAGTTCCTTCGCACGTGGCCTTCAGCTCCGCAATTTCAACATTTTAAGGTATGTTTCTTTTCACTAATATTATGTCTTAAGGCATTGAGTTGTCGGGGTTAAATTATCTGGAAGGGCAGCCATTTGTCCTATGGCTTTTGGATTTGAGCAGCTTTAACTGGATGGCAGTCTTACGAGTTGCTTGCTGGGCTGCCTTGAATTTCATGGCGTACATTAGAGCGCTTTTCAATTCCTTGACATCCGCTATTCGCAGATCTTTCTGTTTTTCAGGATCCCGGATGCCGTCGATGAAGTATTGCAGGGACAGGATTTCCCTTGTTTCTGTCCGGCACTCCGAAAAGGCGAGATGGGATAGCCTTTCAACATCTATGGTGAGTTCCTGGAGTGTTTCCGTGGGCTTCTGTTGGCGGAATTTTAATTGAAGCTTACCGTAGTCTTTCAAACACTTTTCCCCAATGCGCTGCTCCAATGCGCCGGAGAGAGCTTCGAAATCTAGCATTTGGTTTTCGGAAAGAGTCTGAAGGATATCTGCTGCGTCTGCTCTCAAAGAAGTGGCTACATGACAGGCCTTAACTTGGGAATCCCATCCATTCGCATCCGCAACTATAACAAATTATGTTTTATATACTCACCAGGAGGCCTCCCCATTATACGTGGGACTTCAGAGATGGACGAAAAACAAGCATTGGTAAAAATTTTAAATCCTCAGAATTGCTCCCTGCCGTCGCTACGAATTTATTTAAGGCATCAACTTCCTTGGCGACCGAAGAAACCCTGTTATGAATGTTTCTTTCGATTTGTTGTTGAACGGCACAAACTCTTCCTTCGATTTCTTTCTTAACTGAAGAAACTCTTTCTTCTATTTGTTTTTACAGAAGAAATTCTTTCTTCAATGTGTCCAACTTTATTTTCAACATCGTCAATTCTGCTTTCGATAGCTTCAAATTTGTTTTCTAGTACACAGGTAATTTCCTTTTTCATTCCTTTTTAACCGACTTTCATCTCGTCTTTAACGAATTCTTTACCCAATTTCATCTCGTCCTTAACGAATTCTTGGCCTAGTTTCATTTCTGCTTTAACAGACTTGATGGCCCCTTCGAACTTTTCTTGTAAAGCATCAAATGCAGTCATCAATTGTCTGAATTTTTCTTCCATCCATACTGTAACTAGCATTTAAAAACCCCACTCCTGACACCAAACCTTTTTGCGTGCGTACGGGTTCGTTATAAATTGAATGCACAAGTCCGATGAAAAATGAAAAACATTTATTATTATCACAACAAATAAACCAAAAGAATGCTAAATTTACTTCAGATATTCGTACGATATCTCAATATCTCACAGTAGTTATCTTTTAAACTACTAAAAACGTTCAACAGAAGTTAATTCAAAACAGAGAAACGCAAAGAAAGCTAATCCGCGAATTCGCTACAGTAAAAACAACCTCAGTTTTCTAAACAAAACTCGTAAAACAACTTACTAACGAATTGAGAGATTTTTCATGCCGCTTATATAAGCTTCTTAAATGCACGTGAATGTTCTATCAATTTCTCGAAATCAAAAACAAATTATTTATTAAATGTTAAACTTACAGGTGCCCTTGTGTTTTGAATTTTCCGGCTTAGCTTCCTCTTAATATTCGTCACGTCCTGCACTGCACGAGGAATAAAACAATTTAATTTATAATTCTACTAACATTAGCTATATTAAATACTAAATAGGTAACAATATGAAAAGATAGTGTGCAAAAATGATTTCGAAAACAATTCTTCGATGTTACGATATTTCAGATATCTTCATTTTCACCGAATAACAATAACAAAACAAACATCATATAAAGTAAAATCTATTTGAATAAATATGTCGCATGTTAGCATTTTAACAAATGGTAATTTTAAACCACTGCTCTTTACGATTTTAGTTAAAGAAAATATTTTTCTTATTGAAACTATTTCAGATCTACAACCAGTCATTCAAGAGAAAGCCCTTTTAAAACTTTTTTTTAGTCACGAGAAACTTCTGGTAATTTCCGTTTTCTCGAGATTTCTGGATAGCAAAAGAGTAGAATTACGGGATATTTATTTATTAAATGTTAAATGCGCGTGCTCCTGTATTTTAACGTTTCCTGCATAGCCTTCTCTTAATATAAGTCTCGTGCTGCATTGCACGGAGAAATAAAACAATTTTAATTACAATTCTACTAAAAATCGCTAACTCAATTCAAAACCCGTAGCAATATTAAGATTCTTAAATATGATTTCTGAAACTATTAAAAAAGTTAATATGTTCCTAACTACTTTGTCTCTACTGAACGTAGTGCAACCTATTGAACTGTATTGCTGCTTGTAGCTGAGTCCACGCGTGTAGTTTACACACGTGGACTCAGAGAAAAATTTAAAATACCTTTTATTTCACTCCAAAAAATAATAACATTCGGCCCCTTTCAGGGCTTACAGAAAAGCCTCCACTTTGAGTTTAAACTCGGGATAAGAAAAATAAGAAACTAATCTAATGTTAAACTAAACTGACTGAGCCGAAGCTACGCACAAACACCTAACGTAGATGCCCTTAATTAAATTGACTGGAGAATATCAGTAAGTACGGCAAACACTCGCTACTAAGGTTTCTTAAACTCTTCTGTTTAAGTAAGAGAAACCTTCCTTTAAATACCTTTTCTACCTCATTTACATGCAACTCAATATTAAAATCTCACTCTGGTAGAAAGTTATAAGAGGGAAACAAGAATTTAAAGGAAAGGTTTCAAAATTAAAAATAACTGTTAGTAAATTAAAATAAACCTTACAAGATTATTATTTGTAAAAAGAGTAATAATATTTAAATATTATCCACCAGACTTAAACCAGTTCTTAGCTTCAGAATCTTGAACATTTCATCGAGGTTTCTTTCTTGCATGCATGGGTACAGATTCTTAAATGTACCTGAATTTTTAACCAAAAGTGTTATAGCTTCGATGTCTAAAATTATAATTTTATTTCAGAAAACGTAAACTTATTGAGTTTACAGACGATCGAGAACTGCCTCTTTGTTCTCTGCCTAGACGACGGAACTCCCATGGTGCCTAACTATTCCACCATTCGAAAAGATTCCACCACCCTGGAGTTGACCACAATGGCCGGTCACGTGCTTCATGGTAGTGGCACCGATGCTGGCACCGCTAACAGATGGTACGACAAATTTCTTCAAGTAAGTGATCTGCTTCTTTGTTTTTCCAGAATTTCGTAAAATCAAAATAATATCACACTTTAACCATCTCCATTAGTAACTGCAAAATTTTAAGAAATAAATCTTTATAGGGTTTAAGAATTTTAAATCTTGCTGATTGCGATTATAGAAATGAACTGATATTTAAACTTTAAACTTTTTGGTATCAGTATGATGTTTTCACAGAACAAATACGTTTGCATAGTCTTAAATCCAATCTGAAACTAAATTATAAAAGCCTTTTCAACTCTGATTATTCGAAAGCCAAACGATATTTTCTCTGATAAAACTATTTCACAAGCCAAGAAGAGACAAAGGTTTCCTACTTAACTAAGCATGGAAAATATCTCGTTTTAATTAATTTAGTAAAGTACCTCGAAATCCTTATTTTGTGGTAGTAAACTCATTCCCTAATGAATTCTTCACCTTTTAAACAAGAGTTTATTCTTTCCGCCTATCTAATAATTCACTTTGGTACCTCGAATTTCTACAGAGTAAATGTTAAAACAATTACTTCTCCAGCTAGCTGAATCAAATGCTTCAATTTTTTAATTACTATTAATCTTATATATTTGCAGTAACTGAAATGAAAATTTCTCTTGAATTAAAATTAGTGAAATTTTCAGCAAATCTCAAATCAAAATAATTTTCTTTAAATTAGGAATTACACAACACCTTATACTGCGTATTATTCTCAAATAATTATATTATTGTCATTTATGTATACCATACTACTTTAATACCATCTGTTTGTCAGATTTAACTGTAGTTTCATTTGAGTTTAATAAATAAATATGATGTCTAAAATTAAGTTCTTTAGGTAGTAGTAACTGTGGTTTAAATTCTTCGCAATAAAAGGTGCAGTATTTCAAAAGATTCTATTAATATTGTTATGTAAAATACACAAGTACGGTAACATTTATTCTATGTTACTGCACTTAGATCTAAAGCTATTATCTTTTCTTTAAATATATAAGCGGCTAAAGTATGTGTCGCCGATAGTTTATTGTTGCCACTCGAAAAAATGAGCGCGGAAATTAACGTTTCCGCAGTTTTAATTAATATCTCGGCAGATTAAAGTCGTACGAAGATGAGAACGGTATCGATGGGTTCGGAGAATTTTTTGGAACCCGAGGACACGCGTCTCGAATTTCAACTCGGAGCCGTTCCGTAGATATTCGAGAAAAAAGAATTTGGCACGTAGCCATATCCCTGCAATAGGGAAAACACAAGAAAGAAAGTGGAAAATGTAAGGAAAACGTAGGGGGAAATTAGTTTTTAATTAATATCCCGGCTAATTAAAGTCCCAAGAAGACGCGAATGGTCAAAATAGCGTGCCATGGACCTGCGGAATCCAACGGTGTGCTTCGCTAAGCCCGGGAGCCAGCCGTTTCGGAGGAGATGATGTTACTTCACCCCATATACATATGCGGTTTAAGTGTCTGTTTGTCGCCGATAGTTTATTTGGTTGCTTGCGTAACTGTATTAGCCAATGGGGGTGAAGTTGCCACGGCACAGGGTTGCCGCTTCAATTGAGACGTAAACAATTTCCTGTAAAACTTGCCTTTGCTATGACCATCCATAAGTCTCAGGGCATTTTTTTACCTGAGCCTGCATTTGGACACGGTCAACTTTATGTTGCCTGTTCAAGAGTTCGTGCAAGAACGGACGTAAAATTAAAAATAATGGATGGTCCTTTGCAGGGCGAGCTTAGAAATGATGGAAAGATCTACACAAGAAATGTTGTGTACAAAGAGATCTTTGATATATGAATTAACATTTCATTATTTAAATCATCTTTATTGATTGAGCTAGCGGTGGGCTCTTAAGAAATATACCGCCAGTGGTTTATTTCATTGCACTCTACTTTAAGCAATTAAGCAAGAAGAAGGGGGAAACCCCATTGGGCAGTAAGCAGAGGGGCTTCCTCGCCGTGGATAATTCAGCTTAAATTGCAGACATCTTTGCACAAATCATTTTAATTACAATTTATAATTTCTAGAATAGCGGTCATTTCGTATGACTGCCAGGTTTTCTAGTTAACACATAACAAAATTGTTACGAATTTTGTAATTATGTAAATAATTTTAGTGAAATTATATGTGGAATTTTTTTTTGTGTGTGTGTGTATGTGTGTGTGTGTGTGTGTGTGTGTGTGTGTGTGTGTGAGTGTGTGTGTATAATGTAATATGAAAAGCTGAGAGAATTGATACTCTGCCGGAAAAATAAAAATACAGGAGCATTTCTATTTAACATTGAGTGAATGACTATCTTGCTAAATTGGCGAGATATCGCCAGCTATTGCCAATTTCGGCGACTAACTTTTGATCTCAAAATTTGGCGAGAAATCTCCAAAAATCGCCAGACTTGGCTACCATTTGCAAAAATTTTGCTCCACTCCATGTGTAACTGTAATTGGTATTGTGATTGAACAAATGTAATTTATCTAGATAAGTAACTGTAACTGTATTCTGCCGCAATATGCCTTCCAGTGATTTCGAGAACTGTAAGGTGCTGAAGATTCCTCGGCAACTGGAGAGAACCTATATAAAAGCGGGAAGAGCAGCAGTTTCTCACTTGTTGTTTAGTTCAGCGTGAGTTCGGATAGCCGTTTTCGTATGCATTCAATCTATTACGAACCCGTACACATGCAATAGTATGATTTTTAATTAAAGTGAAGAAAACAAATGATATTTTGATTGATTTCTGTTCATCAGTTTCAATATAAAAACATTTTTTAAGTTATTACGTTGAACAATTTTTTAAGTTAGAATTAACTAAAGTTACAATTTTTATTACAATTTTTTAAGTTACAATTTAAGTTTTATTACAATTTTAAGTTACAATTTAAGTTTTATTACAGTTTTTTAAGTTACGATGTAAGTTTTATTACAATTTTTTAAGTTATTACGTTAATCATTATGCTGAAAAGCATAACTTAAACAAATATGAAATTAACATTATTTCCGCTTTATGTTCGGGGATAAAAGAAAAAAAATATTACGCTCAGTGGAGCGTTTTTTAACGTTTCTGTGTTACCTTTGCTGAAATATCATATTCGCAATTAAACGACAAACTTCAATACAACAGTAATATCACAAAATAATTTTAAAAGAACATGTCTTTATTATTTTCGATACACAGTCGAGCGCGCTAGAGATAATTTTTTTTTTCGTACAGTGTTGCCATTGCTCGCTTTAAAATAATCAAGTTTTTTTAAGCCAAAATTCGTTAATGTTTCACAAAATATGAAAGAGATAATGAAACAAATTCCAAATTTGAGGTTCCAGATGCTCGTGTTCAAGTGGAGGACTACATTATCCAAAATTTCATGTCTCTAGGTACCGTAGTTTTTCCACAGTGGGAGAAACATGCCTACATTCATGCATATTCCTGATTATTTTATTTCATTAAATATAAATGCAGAATTCTAATCTTTGGTGGCAACAACTTGAAAAATGAAACGCCACTTATAGTAAACCAACGCAAGATGCCAAAACGAAATTAATAGTCCTTCTGGAAAAATTTCCTCTTTGGGCTAATAATAAGTCCTATAAGAATTCATTCGTAAATTTAAAATTAAATTATTAAAAAACTGCTTATTATTATGGCATTGCCAATATTCCTGTAAATTGTATAATCACTATTGTTTCTTTTGGTTATCTTCTCAAAAATTTATCTTTTGAAATAAGCAAGCAGTTCGTTCAACAAAAATTCAATATATTAAACACCTTCAAAATTAGTTTGATAAAATTAAAAAATAATTAATTATGCCTAACTTTATAAGTAGATTATATTTAAATGTAATATTTTCACAATTTGCGCAATGACTTTTAATGTTAAAATGAGGAAAAATTAACCAAAACACGTAACCAGTTGAAAGTTTTTTTACCAATTTAATAAAAAATAGCATGCTTTTACTTTAATAATAAAACAGTACCCAATAGTTTTATTACTTTATTTATATTTTTATCTTCCAAATTCGCATTTCAGGGGGGAAAAAATTCTGAAAAATAAGAAATATATCTTTAAAATTAAAAGCTTCTAAAGATCAATACATTTTATTTGCAGTCCCTGAGACTTGGGCAAGTCAAAGCAAGTAATAAAGGACTTTTTCAGACATTATTCCGATATCCATTTCTCACATTCTCGCTAAAAGCATATGTGTTCAAAATTAAATTGTAACAAAGATTAACGATGCTGCATGTACCCTTTTCTTAATAAAATAGGCGTAAAGAAAAAGATGTATTTTAAAGCATTTTCTGAGTTTAAAAAAGCACATCTAATAAAAGAAGATAATCATTATGGATAGTACAGAGGATTGTATTTGTGGAGAAAAAATCCTCGTCTGGTGGTGCTTTAAAAGAAGTACATTGATGATGATAAGCCTTCTTTTTTATCCCCATCCATTTCTTAAATTCTGTGAGACAAAAAATAGGTAGCATTATTGATACTTAATTCAATGTAAATTGAAAAACATTTTATTGAATAAAAAAGCGATTCTTTTTACTCCCCCCCCACCGAAATAAAGGAAGTATTGTAATCGCGAAAAATTTCGGGAACCGTATTTCTACGAAAATATCCATTTTGACCGCTCTTAAATCCATTAGAACAATGTTTTTTCGTGACGTCTGTACGTATGGAAAGAATAAAGAACTCTTTTTTTTAAAGCGGATTATAAAATGGATTTAAAATGGATTCAAAAGAGTTTGTCTTTATGACATCTGTACATACGTACCTATGTATATATCTCGCATAACTCAGAAACAAATAACCTCAGAACATTGAAATTTCGTATATGGGACTGCTATGACATGCAGTTGTGCACCTCCCTTTTTGGTTGCAATCAACCGCATCAAATATATATGTAAAATATGAAATATCTATCTTTCAAATAATAAATTAATAATATCCCTTTAACTCCCGTTTTTATTCTTAAAAACCGAGCAATAATTTTTAGAACTAAGCTCCCTGCAATTCTGATGCTCACTTATCAATGAAAGCTGAACCCAACATCTGGACATTAAATTGTCACGTGATCTGAAATGCAATCCGGTATAAAAGGTCAATTGCGTCGTAATTCTTTTCCCTTCTGCTTCTAGAGGCTTGTGTCGCCTTGCCGCTAGCCACGCAGAGGTTACTTTCCTAACTTTGTCCATCGTTTAAGAAGTGAGCTGTACGAAACAGGGAGGGGTGTATAGCACACACACAGTGAGGATGTGCATTATCAGGAATAAAATAATGTGTGGAATTTATCGTTATGTGTGTCCTTACTAATTACGATGTAAAATTTCAATATTATGATGCAGAGAACCACAGTTGCAATTTACTTTCCACCAAGTCATCTGATTTCAATAATGCCACAGTCATATCACAATAATACAGCAGTTATATTCCATATATATATATATATGATGTACCAGCTTTTGTCAGGAATAAATAGATTGTTGAAGAATCATAAATGTAGTCGTAGCTTAAATTCACCATAAGTTTAAAAAACAGGATCCATTTATTATTGGTCAGGAGAAAATAGCAGTTACAAAATCAGATATCCGGAGTAAATAAAAAAGAACTACTAATAATATTTTGTATGAAGGTTTACTGCATCATGACATTTAAGAAAAAGCGCCGATATTCTTTTGCGAGTCCTTTTATAGTCTCTGGAAAGGCGGAGCTTCCAAGACATGACGTCAGCCTCGTCATCCAATCCAGTTCGCTTTAAATATTTCCAAAACATTCTATAACTGTACGTGTAGGAAAGGCGGGAAAAAACAATTTGACTACGGGGCTGTGGATTTAATTCCACGTTCGTTGTGTACATAGATAAAGTGAAGAGTGTGCACAATGCCATTTTTGTGCAATTCTGGGATGTTTTTTTAAGCGAAAATAGGTCGACATGTACATGGATACCGTGTATTCTTAAAAAACGCGGCAAGCAGTTTGCAATTCTGCACTTTCTCCCAATTTCGCACCTAATATTCGTCGTGATTAAGCATTTTTGTTCCATAAAAGTTCTAGTATAAGCGTAATTCGGCTAGCAGATTGTTGGAAAAAATGTTGAGTTAAAAAAAAATGACAAGCGCCTGGCCCCAGCCACCACCCCAAGTTCTTATTGGACACGACTTCTGATGTCATACAGTGACCAAAAGAATTCTCCGCGGCATTATTGTGCGCCAAAAGCTTGAGCCTAAGGTCATTTTAGCGCTGAAACAGGCAAAGCGCTGGCTGTGCCGTATTTGGGAAAAAATTACAAAAATAAAAAGCAGCTTCAGAAATATACTGTTAATAATACATAGTATTAGAAAAAACGTGAAAATCGATGTGCAGGCGATAACCGTTTATCAGTATTTTTGTCATTAGATGAATATCGTTTGACAATAAACATTTTTTATAAAGATAAAAATTGACTTAAGAATAAAAAGTAATCACTTTTTATAAGTATAAAATACTTTACAATAACACTTTTTATAAGATATAAAAGTTAAGAAAGTAAATAATAATGCATAAAAAACAGCATGATAACTCCATTTGACAAAGTCAAATAAACGATATTATTAGTGCTTTAAAAATATCTAACTTTATCTTATTTTAACCAAATGAAGAGAAATTAATGCTGGAATTAGAAAGAAAAAAATTATCGACTACGAGCATTTTGATACCAAACAATCAATATATAACAAACAATAAATGAAAGGAAGATTATTTAGTTAACAAACAGTTAATTTTTATGAAGCAAATAACTAGCATTTTACATTTACATCACTTTTAAAAACACTTCTTCTGCAAAATAAACCGCTAATTAATTGAAAACTGCGGCAGACATTATTTACACAGTAAGAATTAAGTGCTATTTCTTGATATTGCTTGCCGAAGCAATGTCAAGAATAGCATTAACAAATTATATAGAAAGTGCCGAACATATTTTCTTATATGTTAGGATCGTTTTAATTGCAATTATTCTGTTACATCGCACAAATTCACATTAACACAGGACATAACCAAATCCAATGTAGTTATAAGTTCCCCTTGACATAATTCAAACGAAACAGATAATGGTATCTTTTCAGCATGACATCATAAACGGCAACCAATAAGAACAGGGGTGGTGGCTGGGGCCAGGCGCTTGTAAAAAAATGCCTTTACTTCGTAAAAACAAAATGGCGTCCAAAACAAAACTAGCAGGTTGCTGTAGTAGGGTTGGTCGCCAAATTTTCGCCAAAAAATCGCCAAGTTACCATAATGTAAAGATTTACCCTCTTTTCATCGGAATTGTGCATTCCAATTATTACGAACTCGTACTCACACAACAATATATATTTATGCCTAGTGTAAATATATATATTATATATGATGTACCAGCTTTTGTCCGGAATAAATAGAATGCTGAAGAATCATAAATGTAGTCGTAGCTCAATAATCATACGATAAGTTTAAAAACAGGAATCCATTATTTTTTATTCAGGAGAAAAATAGCAGTTACAAAAATTAGATATCCGGAGTAAATAAAAGAATTACTAATAACTTTTTGTATGAAGTTTACTGCATCGTGACATTTAAGAAAAAAGCCCCGATATTCCTTTTGCGAGTCTTTTTATAGCCTCTGGAAAGGCGGAGCTTCCAAGAAAATGACGTCAGCCAATCCAGTTCGCTTTAAATACCTCGAGAACATTCTATAACTGTACGTGTAGAAAAGGCGGGAAAAAACAACTTGACTACGGGGCTGTGGATTTAATTCCACGTACTTTCAAATAAGAGAACGTCGCCATTAAAAATGAAAAGAACATACAGTTAGAATTTTAAGTGTATTCTTGACTATGGAATTTTATTATTACAAATATATATATATGAACCTACTCAGTTATCCAACCCGGTGAGCACAGTTTTTTTTTTTTTTTTTTTTTTTTTTTTTTTTTTTTTTTATAATTATATATATATATATATATATATGTTGGTAAATCATTCCTTAACCTCCTTTTTCCTATTTTTTCCTTGTACGCAGTATGATACGATATTCCTGTATTTATAATTTACTTTTCAATAAATTTAAACGGGACGCAGTCTTGCATTTGTAAAAACGAAAACTGAATATTTTATTTAGACTGATGTACTTTAGTTTACGTTTGTATGATTTATGAATAAAACCAAAACCTCGGAATGCAGACTTCTGTTTCCAAATCCATTGAAAAAAAAAATGTCTCCACATTCAAGAAACTTCTAAATTAAATGTATTCCTTAATATATTTTTAAGACTAATGTCCTCAGTGTAGTGTTAACAATTTTCAGCTATGTATCAGTTTACTCAAACCTCTTTTTATTATCGTAGTTTAGAACTAAATTAACATATTTTTGCCTTTTTCAGGCGGTGGTAACGAGAGATGGCGTTGTAGGATTTGTTGTAGAACATTCGGCCTCCGAAGGAATAACAGTTCTACGATTCTGTGAAGAATTTCTTCAAAAACTGTAAGTACTTTTTATTGGAAATTTTCTATTACTTTTATAACACCTAGGACAATTTAATCCCTGTTTGACATTTGTTTTCCTGGAAAGGCTCAACATTGATGCGTGCAACGGATTTGTAGAAATTCTTTAAATATCTAGGCTATTCTATTTCAACTTTAGAAAACTACTAGTTCTTAAGGGAGAAAAACAGCTTAAATAAGTATTATCAAAAGATAACAATTGAATAAGGAATATAAAATTTGGATCAGTTAAAATATATTGTTACGAAATGCCCAGCCGCGGTAAGATAGTTTCCCCGCAAGGCGGGTTTAGGGTTACCAGAAAAAGGCAAGCGAAAGCATGGTTGCCATATTTGGCGCGAAATCGTCCGTTTGATTTTGATAAAATTGGGGATGTGCCATGGTTGGAGAGAGAACCTTATAGAATGAATTCTTACCGGTTCGGCCTAGAATCGAAGGCAGGCCAAAAAAGCTGCATAAACCCTGGCTGTACGTGGAGTAGCAGTGTATCTAGAGTTAGTGTGTCGCGAGTTGGTATATCATATTGTATCGTCAAATATCTTCAGTGTGTTGAGCTCCGAGGGCAATCGACCGAGTCGGGAGCTGTACTTTACCGTGAAGCTGTGTTGACCGTTGTAGCTTGGAGGCTGATTGTTTCAGCGTGATTATCGTAGTTTTTCGATGATTATAAACCTGTCTTTGAAACTCTCATGAATAATAGTGACGAAGAATTTGTGATAAAAGTAAAATAACACGCCGAACAAATACTAATTTAGAAGTCAAATAACAACAACCAGCATTATATTTGCAAATTTTTAAATATAATGCTGATTGTTGTTGCTTATAAATGAATAAATTGTGTTTTGTTTCTTTATCAAGTCTTGTTGTCAATCACTGCAAATGCACTCTTAGAATGAAACAATATTTTTATCCTTTTAAGAAATTATTTTAAAAGTAAAACATTTAAGGACCAGAATGGACTGAAAAATATAATAATAATAAAATCAAGCGCTTGAGCTGTTTAAGATTGAAATTTTATTTTCTTTAATTTAAAAATGTTTTAATTTAAAGTTTTAATTATCCTGAAAATTTATGAAACATTTAAACAGCAAATTAGACAAGAAAACAGCTTGACTATTAACCCCTTAACTGCCGCGGGCGTATATATACGCCTTGCTCAGCCGATGCGTTAACTGCCCCAGATGCGCCCAGATGCGCAGCCGATGCGTTAACTTTGCGAATAATTTTAGGTGTAGCAGCGCAAAGCAAATGATAGCAGTTTGGAAGGACGTATATATACGCCTGGGGCAGTTAACGCATCGGCTGAGCAAGGCGTATATATACGCCCGCGGCAGTTAAGGGGTTAAATCATTTTTAATTAGGTTTTAAGCATTTGAAGTTAAAGATTTAATTTGAAATATTTTAATTACTTGTAATTCTTAAAAATTATGCAAATTTGTAATTGATATCTGCATTTTAGTTATTCATATTTTAATGCTTCAAATAGATGCGGTAATAATTTAAAAGATTAAAATCGATCAAATGCTGAATACACGTTTCGTCCTTCTTGACTATTTGAGTGCAAAAACATTTAAATGATCTGAAAGCTTTCAGATTTTATATTATGGCCAAAGAGTCTCTTTTTCATGTTTTGTGAGTTACCTTTATTTATTAAAGATCATGTTCTCACTTAAAACACGTAAAATTCAATTCCACAGCAATATCACAAAATATTTAAAAACAGCACATCTTTAGAATTTCCGATACAAGTCTCGCGCGCTAGAGATAATTTTTTTTTCCATGCAATGTTGCCATTGCTCGCTTTTAAATCGTTTAGCTTGTTAATCAAAAATTCGTTAAAGTTTTACAAAATAGATAATAAAACAAATTAGAAATTCAAATTTCGAATTTCCAGGGACCTATGTTCGGATCGAAGTTTCCGCAATTCAAAATTTGATGCCTATAGGTACCGTCATTTTTTCACAATGCGAGAAACATACATACATTCATGAAGATTCTTCATTATTTAATTTTTTTAAATATAATACAGGACGATAATATTTTGGTGGCAACAACCTGAAAAGTGATTCAACTCTATAGTGATTAAACATAGAATGTCATTTCGAGACCAATAGCCATTCTCGACTAACGCTGCTTTGGACTAATAATTTATGCATTTTATACTGCATATTAAAAATAAGATAAAGATTTAAACAGTGAAAAAATGCGTCCTCTAAATAGCTTAATTTGATCAGCAATTACAAGTTCATAAAATTCGAAATATAATTTTAAAATATTAGATTTTACCAAATGGCTGCATTCTGAGACCTAATTAATCCCAAGATTGGTGGAAGAAATATTGAATATTTTGTGCTTCGCACAACGGCCATTATGAGTAGATGATTATACCCAAGGTAATGTAACGTAACGTAACATAATAAAACGAAACATTTAAAAAGTCTTTGTTAAGGCTGTCCCTAACATCAAAATAACTTCTAGCACTTATTTAACAAGTTCTAAAAAGCACAATGTTTAACTTATCAAAGGTACTCGTAATGTTTTCCAAACGCGAACTTAGTTTCTAAATAAGAGTTAAAGCACAATGTTTAACTTATCAAAGGTACTCGTAATGTTTTCCAAACGCGAACTTAGTTTCTAAATGAGAGTTAAAGCACAATGTTTAACTTATCAAAGGTACTCGTAATGTTTTCCAAACGCGAACTTAGTTTCTAAATGAAGTTAAAGCACAATGTTTAACTTATCAAGGTACTCGTAATGTTTTCCAAACGCGAACTTAGTTTCTAAATAGAGTTAAAGCACGATGTTTAACTATCAAAGGTACTCGTATGTTTTTCCAAACGCGAACTAGTTTTCTAAATGAGAGTTAAAGCAATGTTTAACTTATCAAAGGTACTCGTAATGTTTTCCAAACGCGAACTTAGTTTCTAAATGAGAGTTAAAGCACAATGTTTAACTTATCAAAGGTACTCGTAATGTTTTCCAAACGCGAACTTAGTTTCTAAATGAGAGTTAAAGCACAATGTTTAACTTATCAAAGGTACTCGTAATGTTTTCCAAACGCGAACTTAGTTTCTAAATGAGAGTTAAAGCACAATGTTTAACTTATCAAAGGTACTCGTAATGTTTTCCAAACGCGAACTTTGTTTCTAAATGAGAGTTAAAGCACAATGTTTAACTTATCAAAGGTACTCGTAATGTTTTCCAAACGCGAACTTAGTTTCTAAATAAGAGTTCGCGGTTCGAAGTCGAAGTTCATACTTCATTACCATTGTTTAGATTACCATATTTTAGATTTAGAGAAGATTTTGTTTAGTACGATTGTTTCCATGTAAAACGTTTAAGATTATCTTGATGAGCAATACTACATTTTCTTACACTAAGGAATTAAAACAGTAGATTTCTCCAAGGTACACTTCGAAAAAAAAAGAAAAAAAAAGGGACAGTTTTATATTTCCCGTTCTACTGGGCCGATTGACGAAATTCAAATTGCTTTTTTCATGTCTCGAAAGCGTGACTTAGGATATATATTGTTACGAAATGTAAAGGCGCGGTAAGATGGCTTCCCCACAAAGCAGTTTCAGGGTTGCCATAAAATGGCAAGAAAAGGCAAAGTTGCCACATTTGGCGAGAAATAGCCCGCTTGGCGACAATTGGCGACAAAGTTGGCGGTATACCATGGACTGATGGAGAAACTTTTGGAACGATTTTTCACCGGTTTAACACAGAATGTTCTCGAACACAAGCCGAAAGCTATATAAAACCTGCTGGTCCGCAGTCAGTGTGTGTGTCTCGTCTAGCGAGTCAATCCCTGCGGAGTCGATCAAGTTGACAGCCGGGCAGCGAGTGCCCAGAGGGTCGTCGATTTCACTGAAGGAATCTCTTAGTGTATCGCGGTTAGTACATCATCGAGAGAGTGTGTTGAGCTCCGGGAACGACTGAACCGAAGAGTCGGGAGCCGTGCTCTGTATGCCGTCGAGTGCATCGCGAGTTGCAGTAGTGCATCGAGTGCATCGCCAGTTGAGTCAGGAGTACATGGAGTTCCGAAAACGACCGAGCAGAGTCAATAGCTGTACTCTTGTGCTTTGCAGTGAAGCTGTCTCCACCGTTATAGCCTGATAACCGGAAGGCTGTGTCGCTAATCGTGTCAGCGTGTTTATAGGAGCTCATCGACGACTGTAAATCGTGTTTTGGAGCTGTCCTGACAATACTGGTTAATAAAGTGTGTTTACTTCATCAAGTGTCGTCGTTATTCACTCAATCCAAAGTAACCTCGTAACAACTGGTGTCAGAAAAGAAAAAAAATGCAACAATATTATATTTATATATAGCATTGTTCTAACATAAGTATATGGTACAAAACAGGACTTTTCCTGAAGTAACAGACCAATTTTTGTTTTTCATATTTCGATTCTACGATGCAAATTATCCCTAAATATAAAATTTCGGAATTTTTGGAGAGACATTTATGGAGAAATTTCAGAATTTATCTTGGAGCATTTTTTTCAATTTGCACGCAGAATAATTCTCCTAGCTAAATTCTTAATTTATAGTAATCTACTTACTTTCCTTTTTTACTTCCTTGTACGAAGTAAAAAGGAAGTATTGTAATCGCGAAACGATTCAGACAGCATTTCAACGAAAATATCCCATTTTGTCCTCTTTCAAATGCAATTTAAAGATGTATTTCCGTGATATATGTACGTAAGGACAGATTAAAACACTCTTTTCCTCCAAAAAAATTGAAAACTGCTTTAAAATAAATTCTGAAAAGAATTTTTCGTGGCGTCTGTACGAACGTATGTACGTACGTGCGTACGTACGTATCTCGCATAACTCAAAAACGAGTAGCCTCAGAACGTTGAAATTTTGTATATAGGACTGCTATAACATGTAGATGTGCACCTCGTATTTTGGTTGCAATCGCCCGCACCAAACGTATATAAATATATTTATATATTTATATACGTTATCCACACTCTG